AAATCAAAATCATTTAATTGTAACTTTTTAAAAATATTTTAACTCTAAATTGTCTATTTAACCGTTCACAATGATTATGTCTCATATATTATCAGGATAAAGACTTTAAAAAAATCCTATAATTATTATTAATTATTTAGAGTAACCTGTTTTCTTCCAATTCAGCTTTAAGATATATATTTAATCAACATAACAAGTTAAAAAATAATAATAGTTTCAGAAAAAATAAGTAATTATATTCTCTTATAACAGAAAAATAAATACATGTAATCCAAGTTTACATATTAATGAACTTAACCTATTAACTTATTTTTTTACATGAGAGAAACTACCTTTTAAATTCAAAATTTAGTTTTTCAAAATTATGAATATTTTTATATTTTTAACGACATATATGGAAATCATCTTATTTATATAGAAATCAATAATTTTACCATAATAATCCATAATTAAAAAAATAACTTTTAATTTACAATACATTTCTATTCAATTATTAACTTTTCTTAAGCATCATATACTATTAGTAAAAAAGTAACTCTCCCACTACAAACTAGTTTATAAATAAAGTTAAGTTAAACCCAAAATGTAAATTTTAAAAACTCAAACAATCCAAATATAAATTGTAATTTAAATATAATCTTCATGAATACTTTCTTTCACAATGTACTGATTTCTACCATATTAAATGGATTTTCAAATATGTCAGAAGTATATAATCTCATTGAGGAAAAAACTTCATATCCCAAAACCCTTCAAACAGAAACATTCAGAACCCATTAAAAGAAAAATATATATAAATACGTATACATGAATTTAATAATAATAAAAATTATACCTCTACACACATAATTTTTTACATTCATTCGATATTATTATTTTATTTTTTTATTCTTTTTTTAAATTACAAAAATTTACTTTTTAAAACCATTTTATCTTTTGTTAAGCGTATCGAATGAGTTCCTAACCATATCCAGTGTGTGTGTGGAGGAGCCAATGTTGACTAGTGTCATATTCAAATGGGAATTACTGAATGATCCTTGAAGTTTTGGACCATTGGGTGGTGAGACAGTTGTTTGTGAGCATGCTTATGGTTCAGTACACTGACTGCACTGAAATAAAGTCATAAATTGTAGATAGAAGTGAATTAGACCACAAACACATGATTGTGTTATGAGCTGGAGGGAGATTCCGTGTGTGGAAATTGAGCTGTAATTCACCCTCTTCCTTCTGTTTCCCTCTGTTTCCCTCTCATTGCACTCTCAAAAGCTCTATAAATCCAAACCCTGCAACTTGCTTCTTTCACATTTCTTCTTCTTCTTCTTCTTTTCTATTCACCTATAACACACCATTCTCTTAATGTGGACATGGAATTCAGCACCATCTTTTGTATATTTGTTTATTCTCCCTTCATGCTTCTCTTCAACTAATTGCTCACTTCCATCACTTCCAAACACTAGGAATGGTTACTCCCTCCCGGTTACATTGGTTGTTCTTACATTCGTGAAACCTTTCAAATGTGTTCCCTTTCTTTGCCACACAAATAAAAACCTTCATATCATTGCTTTCACTTCCAAATCTTTGCTTGTTACTTCATTTATCTTCATTTGCATGTTCATTGCTACCCGATTCTTTGCCAATTTTCTTTTTCATGATCATCACATAACTACTTTGAGACATTGGATTGGAGGGCTTCTTTTTCTGGAATCCAAATACGAGTTTAGGTCCCATATCGGAAAGAAATGAAAAAGTAAAGTAGTACTCGTCAATTCATTTCCTTAAAGTTTTGAAAAGAGAGCGGTCTCAATTGTATGATTCGAATCAGATCTCATGTGTTTTTCTAGTGTACTTTCTCCTGGTTAGACCCAACTGTTTTAGGAAAATGGTGCTGAACTGAAAATTTGACTTGTTACTTTGTGAGGAAGAAAGTGTTTGGGTGTTGAGAATACATTTGAAAGGTTTCTCCTATGTAAGGTCCACCTATGGAATCAGGAAGGAGAAACTGGTCCTGGTGTTTGCAGGGGAAAGACTAGAGCAGTTACTTGATTAGAATAATAAAGAGAAAAGGAACAAGCAAGCAAAACGTGGCGCTTAGTTCCATTTCAATATTTGATGTAAGTGGCTTGAAATAGGTGAATAGGGAAGAAGATGAAGCAAAATTGATGACCAGTGAAGAAAAAGCCAGCACAAGGCTCCATCCACTTCTACTTAATGGTATTAATCAGTTCAACTATCTTACTTTCATGACACTTTGATCATTTTTTTACTCACAATTATTCCTGCTTATTCTGTTTTCTATTTTACTGTTATGAAACTAATTGCCCCTTGTCTAGTTCATACTTTGCATGATTTAGCTGCCTTTGCCCTGCAAGAACAGGTGAATAACCAATGAAATAGAGCATTCCCATCTCTCTTCAGAGCTCCTTCTCAATATTATGTAGTGTGCAAATCAATTGTCCTGCCTAGACAGAGGAGCAGTTATGTTATTTAAAAACGAATCATAAAGCCCATCCATTCATCATTTTTCTTTCAAGTCAGTGTTTTTATGTTTTACAATTTGTAATTGCATTATATTTTATGATAATGTATTTAAAGGGAAAAACTTTGAAGCCAAATATTTTTCCGTTATTTACACCTACCTAATTGATTAGCAGGTGCCTTTTGGTTAAAACCCATTTTCCAACACACTTAAGCGCTTTATTATCGTAAAACAAGATCTTTTATCCAACCCCGTATAAATATATTATTCAATACATCTTATAACAAATAGTTACAATTTTGGAGATCTATGACCAATTCACACCATATAAATGGAATAAACCTCATTTTATTAATTTTATAAAGTTCAGTTAAGCTTAATTTCACAATCTTCTAAAAGTTATTTAGAATTTATCTTAATTGTGATTTGGGTCTATGGGATCATTCTTTATTAAGTTTTTCTTAATTTCTGAACTCGATATTCTCGACATGAGAGAGAATGTTGGAAATCTCATAGTAGTTATTGGTAAAACCAATTTATAAGATAAATAATAATAAGATTGTCTAATGCTAGTATTTAAGATAATTTTTTTTCATATGATGATTTTCACTAAGTTAGTTTAAAGTTCTTGAGTGTTTATAATAAACTCTTAAATTTCCTAATACTCATATGAGATAATTTCTTCTTATTGTCTTGTTTTGTGTGTTCTTTGTTTGTTCATCAATAGTAGATGTATTTAGCAATTAGAGTTATACTCATTCTTCCATTATTTGTTGACTCATTTTAGCATGATGTTCACCATAAGCCAGTTTCATCAATCTCTATTTGTTATTGTTAATTAAGATTCTTGCAAGATATTGTTGGCTAAAAGAGTCATGATGCTTGATGATATTATAAAGCTTGAAGATTGATGAAGTGTGGAATCAATGTCTAAATTTGACTTAGGATAGATATCTTGTGTGTATCTTGCAATTATTTAATATATTAAAATTATGTTTAACAAGTTAAGTGGTTTGCATATATAGTATTGTGAATAACATGTTTAATCTACTTAATAACAATCAATAAGTTTATTTCACTTAAGTAAGTGAAATCAATTAATTGATAATTACTTTCAATCAGTTAAACATGTTAGTTTACAAACTATATAACCTTTCCTTTTATGTGAGACTAAGTATTCTCTCAAAAATCATTCTGGAAATATGAAAAATCTTGTTCTCTCTAAAGAAGACCGTGTTGTTATTGTTCATGATAATTTTTCAGAGGTTTCGAGCTATTATTGGTCATTGTTGGTGTGTCGAAGAAAGACCCTTGATTGGTTAGGGATTGTGTTTTGTGTATTCTTTTTGGTGTGAATCCAAGTCTGCAAGACGGTTTTTTATTGTGCATTTAGTGTTTTTTATGTGATTCAAGAAACTTGTTTTGTGTGATTTGTGTTTACAAAAATTCAATTATAAGGATATTGTAATTTCTTATGTAAATGAAAGGTCAAGTTTAGGTTGTCTTGGTTCCATTGGATATAATAGCTTCATTTGAGTCAATCAATATAAATATTCATGTGTACTAATTTAGTTTTTTTTGTATTTTACTATTTCTAAGTAGCTTTTATCTATCAAATCTTATATAATAATAATAATATATAATAATAATATTAAATACTAATAACAATATTATATAATAATAATATATTAATTTTAAATACAAAAGATAAAACAATAATCTTATATTTTAACTTAAATTTTTTGTTAAATATTTATGAAAAAATCTATCAAAGAATTTATAAAATTTATATTTCCCTATTTTATTATAACTTATCTCTTCTCTATTTAAATTATTTATTAATTTTTTTAAATTCTATTATTTGAAATAATTTTTATCAAAAAATGTTATTTATAAATATTATTTTATATTAATATTATCATGGACAATTTAGTAATCTTTATTTTTTATTTATTAAAATATATTTTTAATTTATCAAATCGATCAAATTTTACACGAATTTCACAAATTTTACTTTTAAGTTCAATCTCAATCACATCCAAATTCATTCAAAAAAACAACACACAATTTATTCTCAAATTCATCCACTCCTTCTCGTTCAAATCATTGTCCAAATCTATTCAAGTGAACAAAGTCTAAGAATTTTCATTAGAAATAAGGATTTGCTCAACTAATTAAGAAATTGAACCTTCTCCTTCATTGCTTTTATATAATTTAAACAATTTGTAATCAACTGACAAAGTTTGAACCAAATCTTATGTCAATAAAACTGAATTCCTTTGTCGCTTTAGTAATCAAGAATTGATTTTGATACATGAGATTCCTATTGTATTATTATTGATAACTAACTATATACTACATTTGTCATACCAGATACTTTTTTTCTTCTTCGAAGAAACCAATAATTATTATCATATAATTATGATAAAAAGAATCAACATTTAACATTAAACATTAAATGCACATGATAAATCATGAATATCTTTATCTCATATAAACCAGTTCCACTCCAGCTATCAGTTGTGCATCAGGAACCATTGACTTGAGAAAATTGTATCATGAGAGAGCTTGAACACTTTGGCAAAGAGAGTATCTGTTCCTTAACTCTCTCCATATCAATATCTGAATACTGCAGCCAAAAAGCAGTACAAATAGTCATTTTCTCCAAGACTGCTGCATTTGCCATCACAAATTTTGCCAGAAGAAGCTCATGATCATGCACATTAAACTCTTTGAACTGAAAAGCTTTGAAGCTAGACAGAAAGCACTGAGGCACTGATGTAGAAACCAAAGCATCTTTATTGAAGTCAAATACCCCCTGAAACATTTTTTATGTTTAACGTGAGTAATCCACCATTTGTAAACTAGAACATTTTAATTTCAGTGAACCAAAAGCAAGAGTTCAAAACTTACATTTTGTAAAACTAGAGTCTCAAGCGTAGGAGAATTGTGGAGTATGTTCAGCAGAGCTTCACCAGTAACTTCATTAAGTTGCAGATATGTCAATCTCCCAAAAGCTGGTAGAAGGGTGAAAATATCAGCAGCATTCACTAAAACCTGTATATGGCAAGGGAAAAATTGTTCAGCATCAAATTCTCGGACAAAGCATCCATTTTTATTCTTTCCTCTGTTTATAATGTAAGATTGACAAGGTTAGGAATATCATGATTCAAACTAGGTATAGAATCCTGGCAGGTAGACTTTGAGAATAAATTATGATATCACGTCACACATTTCCACAAGCAAAAACATGTTTAAATATATAAATGCACTAACAAATGAACTGTGTATAATATAATAAAATGGACATCTGATAAATTTTTAAGAATATATGCAAAAGGTTAGAAACTTGCACAGTGGTACAACATGTAGAGTTGTCTTGTCAGCTCACCTTAACTTAATTTTTTAAATTATCATGTCCCGTTGTATTTGACTATTGACGGTTGACAAAATTACCTCATAAGTATACCAATTTTGAAAGGAAAATAAATGTCAGTCATATCTTTTCAAATTTCCAATTACATGTGATGAAAAACAAAGCCTACCTTGTACAACAGTAACTTTAAGCGTTCCACTTCACGGATCTGTGTAAGAAGTTTTTGTGATTGAAACCCAAGTTTTTCCATATTTTCTTTTCTGTCTTCATCAATGACAATCACTACAGAAGCAGTTTGAACTGATGATGGATTTGAAAGAATGATTTCCTTCTCAAGATCACCCTCGTAAGAGAAATCTGTCAGATGGGGAGAGAAAATCTTGATGAAAGATTTGCATGGTTCATTTGATAGAGAGGTCCACACTGATATGGAACACTTTTCAAGTAGAGGTGCTTGTATACAAAGATTCTGCTTAGTTGACCACTCACACCCTCTTGCTTCAAACACTTTGAGAAGTGGGAAGCTAAGAATCAGATCTTTTGAATAGATGGGGGATTCACTCAGTAACTTGATCCCAGAAATGCTAAGAGTTTGAAGGTTTGGAAGACATGCAAAGGTTGGAACACTGAGACTGCATGTCATTTGAAGCGACAATTGCACAAGAGAGTTGCAACTAAAGAGAGAATGGGAAGGAAAGTGATCTTTATCAGCATACTGAATGTGAAGTTTCTGAACTCCTTTTTCCAATATAGAGGAGATCCATGCACCGACCATGGATGGTTCATAATGATAAGAAGTTAAACAAAGAGAGACACTTTGTGTGCTTAAATTGCCAAGGTGAAGAAGCATTTTGTTCACAAAATACTCATATTGTTCCTTTTGCATCTTCTTCCCAGAAAAAGGCACACTGTCATTGAACTCTAGATTGGTGATGGATGTCCAAACATCAATCCAACCTTTTGATAACACACTGGTACGCACTGCCTCCATTGTTGGAAGGAAAGACAAGATGTGGCCAAGAATGCTTTCATGTATTTCGCTTATTATGTCTCTTTCTTCAACCTTTGCTTGCCATCTAGTAAACTCTTTTGCTATACCCTCCACAATTGCAGCACTTGAATCCATCCTGGTACACAATTTGTAAAAATGTTAAGCATTCACATTGGAATAACACAAAATCCCCATGTATCATATACTATAGAGTCATAACATCAAGCATATGGAATGCAGCATTTCATTGGGGGACTAAAATGTTCAGTGCAAACTGAGAGAACTAGCAGTTAAAGGAAACAGAGAACACCGTCAAAAATTTTACCTGGGAAAAGAATGATTTTTGTAAAACCTTGAAGGTGTTAGAAATAATGAAGAATTGGATTGTCAATGGTTCTAGGAGGATACATTTGTGTTGTATTTATAGTGTGTTGTATAAAACATAGTGGATAAGAATGAGAATGGCACGTACACAGATTCGATGAAAAAGGTGGGAAGAAAAAGTGGTATTTCATGTTACAGTCATATTTGTTTTTATTAGTAACGATAACTTTAATCATCATCAAACGCTTTTACGTTCACACATAATACAAAAGTAAAATAATTATAAAACTATAAATATTTATATTTTTTCAAAAAAAAAAAGTAAAAAACAAATAAGAATAATGTTAAATAAATATAAAAAATTTAGATGCGTCAAAATAATAATTTTTCTAACATTATCTATATTTATATTCATTTTGATATATATTACAAAAATAAAATAGCTATAAAAACAAAATATTTTTTATAAAATAAAAATGTATTCTTACAAATAAAAAAGAATATTATCAAATATTCGATATCTAAATAATGTAATTTAATTTTTTTAATATCAAATATTTAGAAAAAATATTATGATTGTGTACCTATTAAATTAGAGAACTAAATAAAATTCTATGAAAATTAAAATATTTATTAAATTTGTAAACGTTAATAAAACAAATTTGATAAAATTTAAAAATATTTTTAAAAAAATAGTGAGTTAAAAAAATATTAGAAATTTAAACAATGTTTAGTTTTTAAGTATAAGAGACTGTATTTCAAACAATTATCGAATTTTTGAATTACGAAGTTTTTAAATGATACTTGAAAACTAAATGTGATTTGTATTATCAAACAAATTAATATGAAAAATTAGATAATAAATCTTCCTTTCTCTTATCTTTTCCCATTAAATATAATTGTACGACATTAATAAAAGAATGAGAGATTTGTCAAAGATATAGGAACAAAAAGGGTTAAAGTGCGGACCACAACATCACGACATGCCGAAATTCAAGGTCATGCAAATTTATATGGTCAAGAAAGTTGGGGATTGTGAACTTTTAGTTATGCCAAATTGATTGTAAGAAATTAATTTAAAAATTTTGGACTTTTAGTTATGCCAAAATGCTCCATAATATTTTGCTAAGATATTGTTCATGATCACTATTTATGGTCAAAAATGGTGCCAAAATTATCAGAATCATGTAAAAAATATATTAAATGGGACGTCATTAAAAGGATACCATTTTTTAAAATTATAAGTTTATAACATGTTTTTATTTTATTTTATTTTATATTGGGGTAGATTAATTTTATTTTTTATTTTATACCTTTTAAAATAAAAATGTGGGATGTGTACTTTAATATAAATATGTACTTATAACTTGTTAATAAACTCCAACTAAAATATCAAGATAATATCTAAATTGATCAAATTATTTTTAATATAATACCTACTAACATGTTTTACAAACCTACACTACAAAATTAATGTATCTTAGGAGAGGTTTATTTTTGGGGTTTTGAAAACCTCTATAAATTTTCGGCGGTTTCTGTTAAACCGCATATAAATTGATTTTTTTAATAAAAAATTTCCAAAGATTTAATAAGAAAACCTCCAGTTTTTTCGTTTTCCTTATTTTTGCACCGCGTTCATAATTTAGGTTTTATCTTTTCTGAAATGAACGCGTCGCGCGATTAGGGTTCGTTTTTCTCAAAAAGAGTCCAGGCTTCATCTTCTTCTCCTTCACTACCAGAATCACTACCGATAAGCATGGTGGTGACAGTATTAGTGCGGCCATCTCCACTTTCAACTCCTTCTTCTTCGCTCGTCAAACAAAGAGCTATGATCTTTATTCACCTCCATCCGCGACAACTCTTGTCTTCATCATGTCCAACACCATCGCACCTCTTCATGGTCCGCCATCGCATCTCCTTCATCCACGGTTGCACCTTCGTCAAACGGTTGAAGTCGCCGTCGTCCAGATCTCCTTCATTGATGACAATAGTTGCTTTTGACCTCATCGTATATAAATTTTCAGTTTCACTTCGTTCATTGCCCCCAAATTTCACTCACGAACCCTAACTCGAGAACATTTTTTTCACTTTCCTGTTCCCTCTGCAATCCCTAATTTCTCTTCCCTTTCGTCCTCGTCGGTTCTCGCAAGCCCCTCTATCTTTTCAGGGTATGTGACATTGCTCTTTCAACTCTCAATTCCTTATCCAAATTCATTCATCCTCATTTTTTTAACGTAACATCACCGTTATCACATCACCGTTATAGTATTGAATATCTTTGCCTTTAATAATGTATGTTGAACAATATAATTTACTATATATAATAACATTCAATTTTAGATTATATTAAAACCAGATTTATAAATTCAATTTGAACGTGGTTTATCATAATTCAATTTGAACACAAAAAACATTATGTGGAAGCATTTCCGGCGGTTTTAGATAAAACCTCTAAAAATAAGGGCATTTCTTTCAAACGCAGTTACTTCCCGTGGTTTTCTGAAAATCTCGGTTAGTTCCGGCGGGTTTCCAAAAACCCCTGGAAATATAGGCGCTTCAGCGCAACCCCAGTTAGTTCCGGGAATTTCAGGAACCTCGGACAATTTTGACGGAAACTGCCGATAATTTTGTGACGATGATTTTCTACAACCACAAGAAACGTGTATTTTGGAGATTAAAATCTCCGGTAATGTAAAAAAAACTCCCGAAAAAATTACATATAGTGTTATGCCCTTCAAATCACACCATACACAAATCTTTTTATTTATCCGTTGTTCAATAAGAAGTTTTATTTGTTTGTGAAAACTTAAATATGTTTAATGAATTTGTTTCATAATTAAGGAGTCAATTAAAAATATCTTAGTTAAGAGAATCTTCCTCTAACATATATTAAATATATAATGATTATAAAGAATGAACAGAGAATTTTAATTTTATTAATTTCTTATCAAAAGGTTTTTATTAAAAAATACTTTCCGGCAAAGTTTACCAACTTAAAAGGAATTCATTTGAAGAAAAAGATGTTGGAAGTCCTATATTAAATATGAATAACATACAGGAGCAAAATAGTGTAAGTGGTATTATCATTAATGTTATAATAAGAGATTCAACTCAAATCTAAAATCAGTCTTTGTACATATATAAATTTATTATTCTTCATTGATAAAAAGATTATAAAAACTCAAATTCATTTGTCTCAATTTTTAGTTAAAAACGATATAAATTTTTCATTTATAAAAGTGATTTAGCAAACTTCATCATATTTTCTTTTCATACATTTCAAATTTTATTCACTATTTTTTAAAAGATTACATTTGTGATAAACATGCATAGAATTGAATTCGATTTCCTCTATATACAAAATCTTATCCTATCAACTTTAGTTATAATATTGGGAACAGAAGTCGCTGCCTTAATGGTTAGAAGAAATCTACAATAGAGAATTAATGAATAAGTTATTCAAAGATTATAAATATATTTAATATGTAAAGCTTTTGTCATAATGAGGTAATGACAACGTCATATTTTTGCTATTATAACAACTTTGCGTTAACATTACACTTTCAAATTTTTAGTTTGAAAAACAAATATTTATGTAATGACACTTTTTATTGGTACCTATTTATTAAATTATTTTATTTTGTTAAATGAAACCATTTACTGCATTTTTAGATCCGTTTTTCAATGAATTTTACTTGATTATATAACAAAAATTTTATAATGAGTTGAACTTCCATATTTTTTTTAAAAACCATTATGTACATTTATTAATTTTTATAAATGGTTTTTTTAACTTCAGAAAAATAAATTTTAATTTATTTAATATGATTGAAATATATAAAAGTTAACTTAATTAGAAAAATATCGCTCCTAACTATTTCATGATCAAATAAAAAATATCTATTAAAAATGTTGGCAAATGACAAAATGACGAAAATCATGATATTTTGATAATGATAAAAATACAAGAATCCAAACATGCAAAAAGATAAGATATTGAAAGAGATGTATTTTAGTATGTTTGAAAATAAAACTTTTGTAATAAGTATCTACGATTAAGTGTTGTTAATTATCATATATATATATAATTTAATTAATGAATTAATACTCTTTTTTTAATTTCTTTTACTCTTAATATTTTTTATGATGTTTTTAATGTCATATACAAATATGTTTTATTTTTTATTTTTTGGATAATTTATCTATTAAAATTATATATATGTAAAAATTATTTATCTAATATGTGTGTCTATATATATATATATATATATATATATTAAGAAAATATGATAATAATTTTTATTTTGAGATATTTTTCAATAATTAGATTAATAAACTAAGAGTTTTCAATAATATTTTAATATTTAAATTTTAATTCATTAATCAAATAGTTAAAAGTACTTGTAAAAAAATGTTTATCTAAAAAAAAGAGAAGACATTTTTAGTGTAAAAAAAAGGTGCTCCATACAAAAGTGTTAAAAAATGATAATATATATTCAGAACACAATTGCTATTGAAACATAAAATTTGTATTTTGAAAACATAATCTTGAAAAGCGTAACTCAACGAATTTTGTAAATTGTTTAAAAGTTTATCTATTTCCATAAATTTGAATAAAAAAAATACACTATCTCAGTAAAACTCCCCGTCTTGTTGTTGATGTTTCTCTATATCGTCATTTTCATTGCCATAAACTCTGTTGATGACGATAAGCATGTGCAAAAAAGACTCAAATTAAGAAATTAAAAAAAATTTGTACAAAAAAGACCATGAATGCAAGGCAGCCACGAAACCTTAAGGAAACGATGAATTTGGACAACGTAGGAAAAGGAGCCTTGAATACACAGAACACCAACTACACATAAATTATTAATGAAATAATAAAAGCAAAAGCCACCACACGTTCATAATCAGTTCGACATGAAGACCGCAGCCCTGTCCTGCAATTTTACTAAACTTTTGCAGGATGACTG